TGAGATACTCACTGGTGTGCTCTGCAGTCTCTTGCATTACAGAAAATGAAGTGACTAGCAGAATTAAGTTTGTCAGGAGCATGTATGCTTGGGAAAAGATCAAGGAATGTAATGAAACAAGTATGAATTCTTGGGAGGAAGGACTCTATATGGATTTTAGGCCATCCAGTCCAAGCCTGGGCAGATGGGTTACATTGGCAGAAGGCTCAGACATTGCTAATTCACTTAAAGCAGCAGCAAGACGACTGGTCTGCTGGGTAATTAGCATTGAAATTGCCCCTGGCACCACAGTCTGTGGCACCCTGTAGTTAGGAGGTTTTCAGATTAGTGAGGTGTTTTTTTCCTTTCTAATTTCTATGTAGGGATAGCTTATGCTTTTGCAAACAGGAGTCCAGCCAGGCACCAGCTCGTACACAAATCAGAGCTGAGCGGCGCTGGGGTTTGTGTGCACACCATGGACCTCAACATGTTACACAGCCAACATGCCACTCACCAGCCAGCTGTTTACTAGATTGATTTCTAGGGGAACATCAAGCTCTCATTTCTCCTTCTCCCTCCTAGTGTTCCCTGGAAAAGGCTGTTTCTCTTCATGAGAACACTACTTTACCACTCCGCACTTCTATAAATAATTCCCTGTACGCGATTAGATAAGCCCCCCTTTTCCAGGATGACCCTCCTGAACAAGCCATGGGGTTTCTCACTATCCCATCCATGGATCCCTGCTTTGCTGGCTGAACCTCTGACCAGCACAAAAAGCCATGTTTCTCTGGTCAAGGAGCAAATGGGATTCCCTGCAGAGCCTTTACAGCTGCCGAATCCTTTGGCAGAATTTAAAGGCACACAAGGCAACACCATCCCTCCCCTTCAGGGAGCACCTCAGCCTGGGGGATGAAACAGCAGCAAATGTTAAAGAAATGGGGAGCACAAATGAGCAGAATGAATCCCTATGTTTTCAATACTACAGGTTTAGAAAGAAGAAGTGGTATGGTGAGGCTGTGCTACTACCACTTACGGGATATAAAAGCAGTATCATCACTTTTGGTCAATGAATTGAGAACTGTGGAAATAAAATTAGTTCTTCTTTTGGACAAAAAGAATATAGACAAAGTATATTTTATTGTACAAGGTCAGCTTGACCTTTCTAATAGACTACCATTTGTCAAGCAGTTAAGTCCTGATTTCAAGTCTTTTACTGCAGTACTGCATAAGCTACAGGTAATCTAATTTGCTCAAGGTTTTCAAGAAGTGAAAAAGTAAAATTCCTGACCAACAGAGAACTCACATTTTGAGTAAGTCTTATACAATGACAGCTAAATATTTACAGTACTGGCAGTATTTTCCAGAACAGTTTAGATGTTTCGTAACTAAAAATAAACACCTTAATGAAAATGTAGTAATCATTACAAGTTTATTCTATGGGTTTGTGTATTCCTAGAATTTGCATTAGGTGCACCAAGGGTATCATGATAATCCTGTTATCTGCAGGCAGCTAACCACAACTGACCAGTAGTAAACACTCCAAATTTAAGACTGAGGTCATTAATAAAACAATTTAGAAGTAACTGTTATGTATACAAGAGCACAATAAACAATTGTTACTCTCCAAGAACATATCTCTAGTTGAAGAGTTTACCAGAACAACTGTTAGCCTGTCCTACACCATATGTGTAATGTAGTCAATTACTTTATTAATTCCTTTAATTAAAATTATATTTTTCCTTTCATTTTTGACCTAGTAAAAAATGAGAGCAATGTCATAATTCCCCAGGGCAGCCAGATTTTAAGTATTTTCTTTTATATGCCCCATGCTAGTTTTTAAACTCTTCTCTGTAAATCTACAACTTTGTGCATGTAAATCTTGATGGCAGCAAGCAACTTAACTCTGCTCTTCACTCCCTTTACAAATATACACTGCACTGGAAACATGGCAATAGCTGCCCAGACTGACAAGGGTCAACATGGACTAGCAGAAAGCTCCTCTGAAGAGAAGACCAGAAAAGAATACACTAAATGCAATTTAAAAAAGAATTATGTGACAGCTTTTCTTCTCCGTGGTTTGTTCTGCTTTACTTAATTAGTTAAAACCAGAAACATTTAGATACTACGCTGAGTAATCTGTAAGGCAATGTTGGTTTGGTATTTGCTGTTATTTGCTGGTTTAAATAGGGAAAAGCTATCTTTTTATTATTATTTCATTATTTGCATTATTTTTATTAATTGCAGAATGAAAAGCTGCTTAAAACCTTAAGTATCTAACAAGGAAATCAAGTCAAATCCAGAGCACCAAAATAGCACACGAGTCACTCATTTTATGTAAGGGATTGTCAAATGTGGTTGCCTGTGATGGCAGGGGTTGAGTTC